TTGTTCACTGTATCATTACTCACAGTGGCCAAGACAGGGAAATAACCAGAGTGTGCTTCAATAGATGATCAGATAAAGAAGATATGATACAGATGTACAATAAAATATTACTCAGCCATCAGAAAAGATGAAATACTGCCATTTGTGACAACAAGGATGGATCTTGAGATTACCATGCTAAGCAAAATAAGTCAGACAGAAAAAGTTGAGAACTATATGATTTCACTCATATTTGGGATATAAAACTGAAAGCAACAAATAAACAAGACAAACAGAGACTCATGGACATGGACAACAGTTTAGTGGTTACCAGAGGGAAAGGGAGTAGGTAAGGATAAAAGGAGTCAATTATATGGTGACGAAAGGAAATATAACTTTAGGTGGTGAACATGCAATGCAATATGCACATGATGTATTATTGAATTGTATTCTTGAAATCTATGTAATTTTATTAACAAATGTTATCCCAATAAATGTAATAAAAAATAAGAATAAAAAAAGAAAGAAAAAAAATATTGGATGACACCTTAGCATTTTGAAAATGTAAGGAAAACATGAGTTTATTGTTTTCATAATTTTATTTTTTCTGCAACTGATGCTATTATGATTGCAATTCATTTCGCTGTGGGCACTGTTCCACAAGTGATGGCTAGTTTTTTTCATGTTTTCATTTTTTTTGGTCAAAGTTAATTTCACCGTAGGTTCATTAGTGGTTTGAATAGGATCCCCAAAGACATTTTTGTTTGTTTATTCAGCTGTTCTCTGACCATTTAAGCAGATAAAACAACAAAGCACATGCCATTTCTATTCATGAAAATTTACACAGCAACTCATTTCTTTGAACAGAGGGATCAGACCGTATTTACTTCCACAGCCAGAGAGTGCTGCTAGCATTTATTTGTCATTCTTTGTTCATTCTTTCAGTCACAGAATTCAAGGAAATATTATTTAATAGTTTATTGAGAGAAAGCAACTCATCAGATTTCATTTTAGACTTTGTGATGACAAGAGCAGAAGATGCTATTCTCTATGCCACTGCATAGTACCTTGCATTTGCAGGCAGTCTTACCTGGAAGAGCATGTAAGGCTTAACAATAGGGCAAAGTTAACACAAAGTTATAGCCACTAGCACTCTGTGTTCTCAGACACAAAAAGAAACTTTAGGTTACATTTCCCAAAACATGATGAGGATCTACCAGAAAGTAAGTATGAAATGTTTGTCAATCATGGGCTTAAAAGTTTAGGAACTGGAACTGTGGAAGTTGTGTAAAAGCTATCATTCCCAGATAAAGGATAAAGGCAGTGAGTTCACATCTTTCTGCTAGAAAATCTGAGTCCATGAAGTACCTTCATGTTCAGAGAAAATTTGAAAAAAGTAACCTGTGAGCTGCTACTTTGTTCTTCATAACATGATAATGAATCCGAACGTGACTCTTGAGCAGTGCTCTTGGAAGTGATCAGAATGAAGGATTACACTAGCTATGTTCTCACCTGCAGAGTGTAGTCACTGCCATGGTATAATGAGGGGGGCCAAAAAAGGAATCAAAAAGTATTTCTCACTTCTCCATTGACTCTTAAAACATGATGATTAAAAATAACTTCAAGGGAGGCAAACACCCATTGAAAACCCTGTTAAATGGTTATTTATCTCATTTTGAACATTTGCAGTCCATCCCTTGGACTGTCTCAGTCCTGAAAGAATCCATAACAACTTAAGTTATGTTAATTAGGATAGACTACAAAGATTTGGAGCTCCTGATGTTAATTGTTCTTTTACTGATACATTCAAATAACTCAGAAAAAATGTGAAATATGTACGTGTTTATTATTCATTTGAAACATTATAAGACCAGCAAAATATAATGATGATGAATTTGTACTGAAATGACCACTAGAATAAAGTGATGTACCTCATTTATAAGAAAAATATCGATGAAACGGTAATCAGTTAGGATTATCTTATCCATAAAAAATATTAAAAACCACACCTAAAATAATAACACCCAAATCCTCAAAACTTTGGGAATCAGAGATTCTCGCTTTCAAATGGTGTGAGTACACAGTGGGACGCATTTTTAAAAGACTAGTTTAGCAATAAGTATGGGAAACGCTTTATTCAATATTTCTTGTTTGATTAGTTCTTAAATATGAGATTAATCTAGTGAAGACAAAAAGATTTACATACAAGAATGTCTATTAAGAGATTATTATATAATAAATGGAAACAAACTCAATGTTTATTATCAGAACTATTAACTTTATAATTTTCTTCCTTACATTATAAGATATGATGAGCAACTCAAATTGTGTGTTTGAAGAATATTTAATGACATGGGGAAAATACATCATAAGTGCTTTAAAAAGAATTGAATGAATAAAGTGAGGTTAAATGAGGAAAACATCAAATGTTATTTACAATATAATATATAGTTTATAAAATATAAATAACTGCATTACATAATTATATAGGTACAAACAGGTAGAAATAACTATAATAAGATATTAATAAGCATGGCTGAGTGTAATGTGATCATGGGAGGATTTTTCTTATGCTTTTCTATTGGTTCTCAATGAATGTAATAAATGAATATGAACACATTTGATCAAGAGGATTAAAGTAATATTATCTTTAAAGAATGAATGTAATAAATGAATATGAACACATTTGATCAAGAGGATTAAAGTAATATTATCTTTAAAGATAAAAATAATAATAAAGATAAAGATAAAGATAATAAAAATTATCTTTGAGCACAGTAAGTGAATAGTCATGGTCTAAAACTCCAGTATTAATTTTTTGTGTTAAATATTTGACTTTTAAAGTAGTCATTCAAACATTGATATGATTTACTTATAAATCTCAACCCAGTCACTTCCTCTGAACTGAGGACACAAAATTATATGTTTTTATGGTATGTGATGGTATACCATCCAGGGATATTAACTGGTGCTCAGTGTGTTGGCCAGCATGGAGACATATGCAGATAAAAGTTGCTGAAGAAAAGAACTTTAGAGGTGCTAAATAGAAAGATGTGTGGCTCTCTGGAAACCCTTGCATTTTAATCTAGAAGAACTATCTCTGCATGGGCTTGCATTATTTAAAGGTTGCTGACATTAGGCAAACATTTTATCCCATAAGCCTTGGTGTGCAGCCTCCCATATGAAGGTGTTTATGAACCCTGTACACTGTGCCAATTCTCCTCAATAGATAAGAAATGAAGTCTTCCCTAAGAACAGAGGGAAACAGCGCTTAAGGCATTTGGTGGGAAATATGCATCACATACAAATCATTCATATTACAAAATGATTGGTGTCTCATGGGGTGATTTCATTTGAGTCATTTATTGAAGAAACCCAAATGCCCCGAAGATACTGTTTACATTGAGAAAACATTTGAAAAACTAACATTTTAATTAATTAGTGATTATTAGAACTGACTAAGTATGAGCAATTGCCCCAAATCCTAACATTACAGCTTTCCTGGAAATGATTAAGTTTTGGATTTCATTTTGAATTTCATTTGACCTGGTCAAATGCCAGCTCTGACACTTCTTAAAGTGTCATCACTGGGAAGGGTGAGTGAATAGGTAGGAAATGTGAGAAATGAAAAAGTATCATAGGTCTTATTGGAACAAGGTGAAAGGAATTCTTTGACTTGATCTTCAAATAAGCAACACTCGAAGGCAGTTTTGTAGGGAAGCTCATGAGGATGTATTGTGCTTTTCTAGCTTTTAAAAATATTATTCCTAATAGCCAAAATGTATTTATTCTCTGTGTAATATTTAATTTTTATTAAATATTAACACCTGATAATAACTGCTTTTTAAAGGAATAAGCACAAAGTCTACCTACCCTTGGGCCAGAGTGCTGAAAAGCAAAAATCTGTCCTGAAGAAATGGTAGGGGCAGCAATGATTAGTGACAGATCCAAGGGTAAAGTGAATCTTCAGAGAAAATAATATGGCAAAGATATAAGAGTTTTCCCCAAGTGGTATTCTCCTTTATCTACCCATCTCGCAAGATATAGACTTTCTGATATTAAGGGAGCAGGCAACTAGCCTCAGAACTCATTTGGGAGATGAAATATCTATGCATAAACTACAGAACCCCACTAAGGATAAAAGAAGCCTAGGGACAGGATAGTGTTCTGAGAAAGACCATCAGAACATCTCACCTGTCAGTATTCTGGGAAGACTTGGGATGGGTGGGACAGTAGACAACAGATGGATGTTGAAACAAGAATTCGGGAAAGATAACAAAACAGAGGCTGTTCATGCTGATACACGAGAGGTACCCAGACTAGAGGATTTCAGCAAATTATCATAAAAGGGGAGCAAAGAAGAAATTTTGGAGGAGTATGGAACTCAGGAGAATTCATGGGAACTCTGATATACTCCTCCCAGGTTGCCCAAACAGTAAAGGCTTCTCTAGGATGTGGGGGAGATTCAGGAATTGTTTGAAGGGAACAAGTGTTGCAAAGCATGGAAATAATACAACTGAGCCACTGGTAGTATTAAAATACCATAGAGTATGAGAACGCTTTGCCCATACGCTGCAGTGACAGATGGGGAAATCAATTTGTGTACAGATTTTTCCTCTTTACCAACATTAATGGATCTCCTACTCTACACCAAGGACTGGGGATACCACAATGGCTGCCATGTTCTCGGGGGACCGTGAGGTTCTCAAGGCACTTTCTATCTCCTTGAAAATTGGTTCTGTGACCGAAGTGGAAAAGAAACTTCAGATGGATATTTTCCATAAGCCACATTCTGAAGACCATTCTGAAGGTAAAGCGCAGTGCAGGGAAATGAAGCACGATGCAATCGCTTCTATATCAGATTGTTGACGATCAAATAAAAGCTAAAACATGTGCTTCTCCTGGTTTGCTTAGCTACTTTTCTCTGTACAGCATATTGAAATATCATTTTTGCATTCTATTCCTCAGATTCAAAGCCTATGATTTAGTAATACAGACTCATTATATATCTGAAGACAGTGATGAAAAACCATTCTGCAATAACAACATTCATCCTGCTAGGATTAACAGATGACCCACGACTGCAGGTTTTTCTTTTAGTATTTCTGTTTCTCACCTACATTTTTACTGTTGCTGGAAATCTAATCATTATTCTCCTCACTCTGGTGGACTCTCACCTTAAAACACCCATGTACTTTTTCCTTCGGAATTTCTCCATGATAGAAATTATGTTTACAACTGTCTATGTTCCTCGATTCCTATACAGCATGACAACTGGAGACAAACTTGTTACCTATACAGCTTGTATCAGCCAATTATTTTTTCTCATCCTCATCGGGGCAACAGATTTTTTTCTTCTAACTGCCATGTCCTATGACCGCTACGTGGCCATCTGCAAGCCCTTGCAGTACACCAGCATCATGAACGAAAGAGTATGCACCATTCTTGTCCTTTGCTGTTGGCTGATTGGGTTAATTGTTATACTTCCACTGCTTAGCCTGGGAGTTCAGCTAGATTTCTGTAGCTCCAATCTCATTGACCATTTTGGCTGTGATGCATCTCCTCTTCTGAAGATTGCGTGCTCGGACACTCAATCAATAGAGCAGCTACTTTTAATCATGGCTGTGATGACTCTCATAGTCACCCTAGTTTGTGTAATCGTGTCCTACACGTACATCCTCAAGACTATTTTAAGGCTCCCTTCAGCTCAGCAAAGAAAAAAGGCTTTCTCTACCTGTTCTGCACACATGATTGTAGTTTTCATTACCTATGGAGGTTGTATCTTTATCTATATCAAGCCAGCAAAGGAAGAAGTGGCCCTTAATAAGGCGATGGCATTGCTCAATTCCTCATTTGTCCCTTTAATGAATCTTTTCATTTACACTCTACGGAATAAACAAGTCAAAGAAGCTTTCATTGACTCTGTAAAAAAGATGGCATATTTTCAAAGAACTAGATAACTAAAATTGTATTTATTCAAAAGTAGATACATTAAGTATTTCATCTTTTATTATGTGTTCTAATTCAAATCTACAGTACAGAACTGCAGTTACAATCTGAGTAGCCGCAGAAATTTCTTTTCTATTACTCTTAACAACCACAGATTTATGCAATCCTTCTGGCCTTAATTCAAAGAGATCTTTCATAGTGGTTCACTTTCATAAAGGACCATGAATATTGATTTTCAGAAACTTGTAACAATACTTCACGATCCTGTCTGAAGGATGTAACAAAGAAGGCAGTAACAAAATTTGAGTTTTACATTTGTCCATTAATTTCTTTAAATGAATAGATTTTCAGACAAAATTTATTTATCTGTGGATTCTGTTCTGGTCTAGTGTTCACTGTCTCAAGAAGAATGGGTAGTTGTAATTTGTAAGTTGTAATCTTTTGGTAATGCAAACCATCCTGGTATTGAGTGAGATGGAACTATTTCATTACACTAATTTGTTGTTAAAGTGGAACATTTTTTTTTTGAATTTACATCTTTTGTTTTTATTATTACAGCCCTTCATTTTTTCTCGTTTTATTGAGATACAATATAGCATTGCATCAGTTCAAAGTGTACACTAAATGATTTTATATATATATATTCTGAAATTATTATAGTAAGTTTAGTTAACATCGATCACCTCACATAGTTATAATATTTTTCCTTGTGATGAGAACATTTTAAGATCTGCTTTCTAGCAACTTTCAAATAAACAATACAATATTATTAACGATAGTTACAATGTTGTACATTAAATCCTCAGGACAAATTTAGCTTATAGCTAGAAGTGTACCTTTTGACTACCTTCACATATTTCCCTCAGCCTCCACCTCTCACCTCTGGCGACTACCAATCTATTCTGTTCTTGTGCGTTTGGTTTTTTCAGATCTCACATATAAGTGATATCATAGATTATTTGCCTTTCTCTTACTTATTTCACTTAGCATAATGTCCTCAAGGTCCATCCACGTTGTAAAAATGACAGAATTTCCTTCTTTTTTTATATTTTATTTTATTTTTCATTCTTTTTTTATTATGTTGACATTGGTTAACGAAATCCAGCATGTTTCAGGTGTACAATTCAACGGTAAGGCATATATATTTTGCATTTTGTGTTCACTGTCCATAGTTAGATTTCTTTCTATCACCACATATTTAACCTCTTTTACCCCATCTACCTCCCCCCTCCCACCCTACTCTCTGCTAACCACTAGTCTATAGTCCATGTCCATGAGTCTCTGTTTGTCCTGCTCATTTGTTGCTTTTAGGTTTATATCTCACACATAAGTGATATTATGTGGTTTTCAACTTTTCCTGTCTGGCTTATTTCGCTTACCAGGATTATCTCAAGGTCCATCGACGTTGTCGCAAATGGCTGTATTTCAAATCTTATGGTGAGTAATATTCCTCTGTGTATATGTACCACAGCTTTTTTATTCAATCGTCTATTTGAGGGAACCTCGGTTTG